TAGCAGCTCGCCTCTTCCCTTTGCCCATCTTGGACAAGACATCACCATCTGCTTTATATTTTGGGACGGTTATCCACATTGGCAACGTGGTCTTCCTACTTCTGGCACATTCCTTCTGTATAAGTAAGCAATGAGCCCAATATGCTCGCTTCTTACTTGTGTGGTAGTGATACTCTGGGCCCTGCTAAGGTTATGGTGGAATTAGATGGTTGACTCTCTATGGTTCACTATAAGTCCACCTGTTTTCTTGTTACATTTGATACCTTATTAATTCATTTTTGTTGGAAATGGAGACACAGAGTGTTGTGGACGTACTGGCCCTCCATTTAGTCTAGGTTCCTGACAAGATCTTGTATGTAATTAGGAGGTTGGAATGGGTATTAGGGCAGCGCCTCAGGCTACCGAATGGATACATTAGCGACTGTATGGCGTGGGCGCAGGGAGGATATTGGGAGGTTTCTATGCCTTGATGGCGCTATAATTGTTTATGCTATGGCTTAGGCCATGTGTCGCTTACACTTGTACTTGTAGCGCACACTTCCCACTCTTACAGCTGTAATCCGAACATGAAATTCATTTGGTAAACTTCTACTTTCGTTCCATTAACATTGCGCCCATTTCATTGCGCGATATTTCTAATAATTTTATTGTCCTGTCTGAGTCTATCGCTATGTGGGACATACAGTGATTTGACACTTTAAACGTGCCAGGAAATCTGGTCATCAATTGGGCGTGACAAGAGTATGAGAACCCTTAGATTCCAAATCAAATCAAACCATCAGCCCTCACTGGCAGTGAGAAACAGAGAAAGAACCATACGAAATATTGTGGGTCACGGTGCCCTCCACCGTAATCTACTTCCCTGAGACACAAGATAATCATAATGGTGCGCCAGAGTTGAAGTTGTGGCGCGCATAATTCTCAAGCTAGATCCCTTAATTTTATCGATAACCTTATCTATCTCAAGCATCGTCTTATCTATATATCCTGTTATCTATTAAATCTATCCTACATACCTACCCCAACATATCTGTGCACCTCTATTTGATTCCTCCTGTGGAAACTCATCATGTAATGAGCATATGTTTGGAAGTAAGCTGAGACTAGAGACTGAGTTCACGAAATTGTGGTCATTGAAATCCGGAATCAAAAGATTTCGCTTGGAGGCTTGATGAGACTTTGGCTAGGATCGATTGAATTGTGAGCAAAGGAATTAAGTGGTTTTGGATGGCTAACTTGCCAGGAATAGATAAGATCTAGATATATCAGACGACTTACTTTCAGAGATCACCGATACTGTGAAGTTTATCGATGAGTGTCTTTGCTCTAGTGCACTTTGATCTGCCAAGTATATCGTGCCAGAAGTCGTGGCTCCAGTCTAGACTATGGCATGAGTAATTTTGGAAAGATAGAGTCTAGCTTACGTAACAAGTTCCATTAGGAGGGCAAGACTGAACACCTGTACGCGGTGTCCTCTACGAACCTGGGAGTGAAATATTCTCCCAAAGCCAAGTTCAGTCAAATTTCGCAATATCAAAGAAGTTGGCCCACGAGGCAAAAATCCAAGTTACTTATCCACGTCGTTATTTCGCTCCCAACGAGTTTGACTCCTATCTTCGTCTCATCAAGTCTACAAGTACGACCAAGTACATCCTCATCCCGATGACCACACCACTCTTCGACCTTCTCTGGCCTCAGCTGGTCACCAAATACACGCCCACGCCGATATTTATACCCGACGGAGGAAGGAAAGCGTGGCGCACAAATCTGGGAGACAGTTCTTTGGGATGGGTGTGAGAGGGATCTGGACAAATTGACAAGATGATGCGAAGGACGGATATAACCTCGAAGGGCAGCCGGCAAAGACGAATTCTTCACCTTCCAGTGGTGCCGGTGTAATCGCTCAGTATGCTCTGCATATCTGGGATAGCCAAGAAGAATCGCATCCGAATCGAAGTCGAAAGCAAACACATGTATATCTCCATTTGACGACTTCTCAACCATGCAGCACTCATCATTATCTTCTGAGTCCTCAACCCCGATCTAAGCACATATCAACTCGCCTCGCCGACCGATAGAGGCGTCACCCTAACTGCAAACAGGAGCTTGCCTCATTCATTACCGGCCATCACTCTCTACATATTTACGACGCTATTTATACCCGCAAGGAGGAAATCAAGTCGAAAAATACAAAGTTGGGGTCTTGGTTTACGGGGGACTGCTGCTCTAATGGGGTTATACATCTTGAGGAAGAACAGGCAGCTGAGATGTGGAGCGAGAGGAGAAAGAAGACTCTGAAGACTGTGTTGGGACTGACATTTTCGAGGAGTTTCCAACTTTGGATTTTTTGTGGGCGCCAAGACTAAGATTTCGGCTAATTAGCCAGGAGGGCTTCTTTTGTCGATGAGTCAACGGCACTCCCCAGCGCCCTGGACGGTACAAAAGAAGTTAGGCTAAGCTACTATACAGCAATCACGCTCTGTCAAGACTTTTCTGACATTTCAGCACGACCTTCGGGAAGGAGTTGGAAGGAGGCTAGAAAGGCAGAGGGTGAATTTCCCGAGGTACACACAAGTCTGCAGCGCCCAGCTGGCCGGCCTCTTCGAACGCTTCAGAAGGGGCAATATGTCTTCGGATTTATTCCTAATGTCGGTATTAGAAGAGCCCCGCACCCAGTGGTTTTTGCGAATTTTCCCGGCTGCCATACACCCGCAAATGGCCATCGTTTCGTTGGCTGGAGAGGGGAGATAATGAAGGGCAAAGGGCTCCTCTTAGTGTATGATCGAATGAGGACTTGTGAGGGGTGGTACTGTTTGAGGGGAGCTGTATGGGAGGCATAGGAGGGGATATACTACTGGTATAGGTATCCTTGGCCTGTAGGCAGAGAGGACCTGCATGTCCTACATAGTCATAGACTCAGACAGGACAATAAAATGAATTAATAATAATAACCTCGAAGGGCATGAGATTCCGAATTTTGGCAAGGAGTTTTACGAATTGGGCTTTGTGCGCGCCAAGACTTCGCTTGCGGGAGTGCAGCTGACACTATAAAAACAAGCAAACGATGGAAGGTGTTATGGTTCGCCTCCTGGTGATGTTCTCTGGTATGGTTTGAGTAGCCTGGTCACCTACTCCACTTGGGAAAGAGGCACCTCAGATCACATATCGCGCGGAGAAAAGTTGAAAGATGATGGAGGCATATCTGGATAATCCAGGGTTTTTGAGACGTTCCCCTGGGTGAGTATTCACGGATGAGGGTTGATTAGGGGTGAAGAAAAAGCCACCATAACTACGCAGTGGTACTTGCAAATGAAATCCGAGGCATGAGTGCTCCTCCTTTACGATGAATCATCTCTTCTGTTATTTTCTTTGATATTGTATCATAGCTAGATAGCTGCATACGCAATTAAAATCTGATACAAAAAAAAAAAAAGCCGAATGTGTCAGGGCTCGCAATACTGTTCATGTCGGAAGAAATTAATCATTGACAATTGATGAGGCGCTTCGATAAGCTCTTTTCACAGCAAACGCCCAGTCTACTTTGCTGGCTTTTAATCTAATCTTGCACTCTGACTCTTAAATGATGGGGATTTCAGTACCTAATATTACCACGTCAAGGGTTGGATGGTGCAGTGGTATACCATCCGGGCCGTAATCCCAAGTTAATAATGGGAAGACTGAACACCCACCCCACCTGAGACGGGAGAAAGTTGGTTAAGGTTCAGTAAAACCCATACACCATTGTCTCTCGCGCTGTCATTGTATTTGTGGCACGATGAAAGCACACTCTGATAACCATAAGTTTGTCACGCTTTTCCCTGTGGTAGGTATGCACGGAAGAAGTTAAACGCCGTAAGGGTTAACCTCGAGTGGTATCTGTAAATGAAATCTGAGTGTGAGTGTTCTAAACGGTAAATTGAGTCTTCCTACTGATTATACAAATCTCCCGATAACAAACCTGCATGGGTCTCAAGGCGCCAAATCAGGACAAATTACTAATTTATTAATGACCCAGTCAATGCACAATCTGGCTCCACAAGATACAATGTCTCTATCCAGTCTACTTTGAAGGCTGTTTTCGGAAGATTTCCCCGAGTACTCTGCGACTTGAAGACAGGAATAGAGTTTTAATGAGGGGAAACTCGAGAAATTTATTCGGCCTAAGATGACAACTGAAATGGGAATGGATGGACATTCAACCTAGCGTAACAAGTTCTCCTCTAACCCCGTTGCATGTAGCGATCATGTCTTTCGTCAATCAAGTTGCATGATATTATGGCCGTGCAATCTCTTGCGTGATATTCTGTTAACATGTATGTTGCCTGCAGGGAAACGGGTGGGTCACTTTTGGAGCACTTCAACGGCGATAACAGCCCGCATGATTTGTGACATGAAATAATCTGAATCCTGTGTTGAATCTTTAAGACAAATTAGTAATCTATGCCTTTGCGGCATGCAGTAATGCGCGAGATTAGTTAGACGGAAGACTCTATAGGTTGTAAGGATAAATCTATTAGAGGTGGAACCCTATGGCATAGCTAAAATACTGTTAGATCCACTCGTATTTGAAATAAAGCATTCAGGTGTGAAATGAGGCAATCTAAGTCCTGGCTCATAATTTACTCCAAGCATCCATGATGCGCTCTCTAGATTATTCACTTTCACCAACACCTATACCCTACTGCTGTGGTAATATTCGAAATTTATCAGCACGACTCAAGGAATATCAGTGAAATGTAACTTTTAGAACCATCAAAAAATGCTATTTAGTCACCATGAGCCGCATCTTTCCATTACACATTCAGCAGCTTTCATTCCTCAGCTCCTATCTACCGCTCTCTACACTTTCTGCGCTCATTTTATTGACACTCTCTTTCAAAGCCTAGATTAGCACTGCCGACTTGCTCTGAAAATATCCATTCTTGGTTTGTTTTCATTGAATTAATCAATGAATAGAAAAAATTAACGCATTACAGTAATATTTTTAAGCTTCTTTCACCATGCATTGTGCTCTTGCAATCCTACTGGCTACAGGAGAGAAATCGCTGTACACAGATCGTCTAGTTATCACCAATGATGCAACATCAAATTCACACTATGGCGTGTACAGTCCCCGAGGAAAAGGGTTTCCTGAACCAAGTGCAGACTCAGCTATTTTTATGACTAAGAGCAATGTGAAAATCAATGGCACACACGTCAAGGCTTATTGCTCCCTCAGTATTCCAGGTCACGAGATAGCTGAGAAAATGGCCAACGGTTTGACTAATATTACCAAACACGCCCATCGAAATTTTGGCACCACTCCCCAGGCAGAAGAGGAGTGTATGAATTCAATTAAATCTCTGTCCAAGAGGCTCTTTTTTACGAATCCAGTTAGCATGAAATCTGCAAAAGAAAGTGATAGCTGCTCTCCTGCGCTGATAACCAGTCTAGCCTATCAAGACAAGTTTAAAGTGCGACAAGGCTCGGTCGTTTTGAACTTTCCTTTTATTAAGAGAACTATCTCTGTTGTGCCGGATGATGATATACCCATGGAAAATGTTGTCTATGGTGGTAGCTATTTCGAGGGAAACGTCTCTAGTCCCAAACAAGTACTAGCATGGTACCTCGGTCATCCGCACATATTTACGCGAGATGAGGCAGACGAATGGCAGGCCATCACAAACGTTGGAAAAGAATCGGAAAATGGAGCGATCATCACCAAATTTCTGTGGAATAACGTCGGTCAGCTTTCATATCTCCGAAACTTTGTGGGCAACGTGACAACTTCGAGTGACCAGAAAACTGTCTTAGACCCGACCTACTCCACGGATTGCCTCGACACTAAAGTTCAAGAAGAAGTTGCTGCTGATAAAGTTCGCAAGATTTTCATTAAAAACCTCAGCACAAAACCTGCCATTTGCTCGCTTGCCCTAAAAAAATTGGGGACTTTAAATTAAGAGCATAACATCGGAGTAATTTGCTACAATGAAAGACAGGCGAGCAGACAACACTATGGCTCGAGTATTGTGTCACATGGCAGAGATAACGAAAGAGGTGACCGTTTCAGCGAAAAAATTAATAGGAGCTAATTACGAAAATAACAGAAGTATGGATAAGCGAGGAGGTTGAAGCTGAAGGCAAATGGAAGTGTTGGTATATAAACTAGTAGATCTGTTACGTGAAATGCCCGCAGACTCGTTAGTCTACCCGCAGAGGATAGACTGCCTTTATGTATTGTTCTAATTTTATCAAGCCGTATAAAATCCTTATCTAGATTTTAAGTCTAGCAGGTTGAATTGAATTTATTGTTTAACGTCCGGTTTAGTTACCAGTTTGTGGAATTACGCAGACGGTAAGCCGTTATAGTTAGGGAAAAGGATCTCAAGAAAACAAACCCCGCTATCCTGCCACTCTGAAATAACCCGCCCGAGGTCTCTGGAGTATTTGTAGGGTCGATCCAGTCCGCACTTCTGCCGCGGTGGTTGTTGGTGCTACTAGGGCTATGACCTCCTTCGGCATACTTATATTTGATTGGAAAGGTAAAAGATGATAGGTGTTATTTCTGCCATTCAAAAAAGCAGACAATGAAGCATCTAATCCTACACTGCATTAAATTTACAAAAGAACGTGAAAAAGCATTTTCTAATATACAACCAAGGATATTATGAATAATTCTAAGAACTAAAAGAGGAAGGGAAGCCTTACTACAATTTTTGAAAACTTCCAAGTGTATATCATCCTACAAAGGAGATGTATTAGGCACACAAATAATGGGACTGGGGAGCAATAGGAGAGTTAGTGTTGGTAATATGGGATATTGCTTGTATTTAAAAACTTTGTGTTTTTGTGCCGTTTTTAGGAAAATTGTCATAGCTCAATAGCTGAATACAATATGAATTAAAAAAAAATACCTCCTTCGGCGGACGCTCTAGCCTTTAGTTGATCATTCAATCTCCTCACTGGTTACCAAAGTACCTGATCATCAGTCGTTGCGGAAGTTCGTGTCGCTGCTATCACAGGCTACTCTTTCCATATACATGAGGTTCGAGATAGAAGCTCCATCCGAGCTTAGCGATACTTCTCCTGTAGACCTGAGAGGTTCGGTACACTGTTTCCCACTATGGATGGTGTTGTTAGTGCCAATTCGCGCAGGAAACCATTCTTCTCGGATGGTCCCGGATTTGCTGAGCTCTAGCGCACTCACCGCATCGCGCTGTCTTTCCATACGACTGCGTGTATTCCTGCTGGCTACAATAGAATCACTGCTTTGGCTGGGCCTGTGGTGACCACACCTCTACGATTAACAGCATGGCATTTATATCGAGGCCGTATCTGTCACTTTCGCTTACATTGCCTCCGATGAGAAGCTAGACGCGATCAATCATTAGTTTTAGCCATACGCCTTCAATCGCTCGTGCTTCTCGTGGTCGTGCAATCTTTATCTTTTTCTCACTTGCTTAGAAATATAAGCACCAGTTGCTGTTGTGACCTGAGACGATGAGGTAGTCGAGGTTGGGGTATGGCGTGTGACTCAAGGCCACAGCCTATGTGACGACGAAGGGTTGGATGGTGCAGTGGTACACCATTCGGGCCGTTCTCCAAAGTAGATACTGGGTAGCTTGAACACCTACCCCATTTGAGACAGGAGAAAGCTGGTTCGAACCCAGTAAGATCCACACACCACTCTCTCTCGCGGTGATATCGTACTTGTGGGATGATGAAAGCACGCTCGGATAACCACAGGTTTTTCATGCTTTTCCCTGTGGTAGGTATGCACGTAAGAGGTTAAACGCCTTAAGGGTTAATCTCGAGTGGTATGTACAAATGAAATCTGAGCGTGAGTGTTCTAAATGTCAAATTGAGTCATCCTACTTAAAGTACATATCTTCCGATAAAAACCTGCATGGGCCTCAAGGCGCCAAATCAGGATATATGAGTTATATATATATATATATATATATATCAGTGGTGTCCCCTACGAACCTCCATCTCTCACTGTAGAGTCTGCAGAGCCGAGATTGAGTAACACCTTATCAACTTTGAGCTGAGTTTTCTCACCCTCCGTCAAAGATACGCTTTCGATAACTCATAATACGACAAAGAGGATGATAATGATGCTAGGGATGAGGAAAGATGATGCGGTACCAAATGCTACAACGGTAGTCAGAGAAGCCCTCGTTATATCACAACATGTGCTACCCACCGGCAGGCGAACAAAAAGCCCAAGAAAGAAGATTTCGAGTCGTCAAAAAATATCGTCCCTTCTAACCTTAACTTCTGAATCTACTAGCCAGGAGGGCATCTAAAATACATGAGTTACCCGACGACCCCACTTTCATAACTACTATTGGATACTAGGCTAGGCTTCCTCACGACAGTCACTCTCGACCAAGACTTTTCTGACATCCTTGCACGACCTTCGATTTGTCCTGCGGTACGAATCAGGGGAGGAGTAAGGAGGAGGCTAGGAAGGTTGAGAGACGCTCCCAGGTATACACTGGTCTGCCGCGCCCGACTGGCCGGCCACTTCGAACGTATCAGAAAGGTCATCATGTCTTCGGATTTAGTCCTGATATCAGCACTAGGAGAAGCCCGCAACCACTGTACGCGGTGTCCTCTACGAACCTGGGAGTGAAATATTCTCCCAGAGTCAAGATCAGTCAAATTTCGCAATATCAAAGAAGTTGGCCCACGAGGCAAAAATCCAAATTACTCATCCACGTCGTTATTTCGCTCCCAACCAGTTTGACTCCTATCTTCGTCTCATCGAGTCTACAATTACGACCAAGTACATCCTCATTCCAATGACCACACCACTCTTCGACCTTCTCTGGCCTCAGCTGGTCACCAAATACACGCCCACGCCGATATTTATACCCGACGGAGGAAGGAAAGCGTGGCGCACAAATCTGGGAGACAGTTCTTTGGGATGGATGTGAGAGGGATCTGGACAAATTGACAAGATGATGCGAAGGACGGATATAACCTCGAAGGGCATGAGATTCCGAATTTTGGCAAGGAGTTTCACGAATTGGGCTTTGTGCGCGCCAAAACTTCGCTTGCGGGAGTGCAGCTGACACTATTGTTGTAATAATGAGGTTATGAGAAGTCTAAGAATTGTCACAATGGGTGTAACAGTCAACTTGGGTTGATGTAGGATAGCACTTTAAGTCTAACGTGAAGAAGACAGATATATATTGTAGATCTGCTATATTGATGACTATTGAATATAAGAGTGGAAAAGGTTGATCATATACAGAGGTCTAGTAGCGAGTATTTATACACAAAGACAATACATACAATATACCATCAATAGCAATAACTGTCAACCATTCAGCCATTCAACAACTATGCCATTAGATATACCTGCGTCATATTATCATATAATCATGTATGGTTGAGATACTGGTGTTGTCATTGCTGTGTGCCGATGACGTATCATTGACGCAGGGTCGCTTGTCCTGTTGGTTCACTTGCCCAGTACTAGCCATTCCAAGTTGTGTGATCTATAAGTGGGTCTGATCACAACAACTATAAAAACAAGCAAACGATGGAAGGTGTTATGGTCCGCCTCCTGGTGGTGTTCTCCGGTATAGTTTGAGTAGCCTGGGCACCTACTCTACTTGGGAAGGAGATATCTCAGACCATATTTCGCGCGGAGAAAAGTTGAAAGATGATGGAGGCATGTCTGGATAACTCAGGGTTTTTGAGACGTTCCCCTGGGTGGGTATTCACGGATGAGGGTTGACTTGGGGTGAAGAAAAAGCCACCATAACTTCGCAGTGGTACTTGCAAATGAAATCCGAGGCATGAGTGCTCTTCCTTTACGTTGAATCATCTATTCTGTACTTTTCTTTGATATTGTGTCATAGCTAGATAGCTGCATACGCAATTAAAATCTGATGCAAAAAAAAAGAAAAAAGCCCGCAACCAGTTTTTTTGCAATTTTTTTTTTGCAGTTTTTCCAAGCTGAGATACACCCGCTAGCGGCCTTCGTTTCGATGGCTGATGAGGGGAGACACTGAAGGGCAAAGGGCTCCTCTAAGTGTATGATCAAATGAGGACTTGTGAGGGGTGGTACTGTCAGATGGGAGCTATATGTGAGGCGCAGGAGGGGATACACTACTGGCATAGGTTTATAGGCCTGTAAGTGGAGAGGACCTGTATGTCCTATATAGTCATAGAATGAAAAATGACAACCATAAAGAGAGTAGATGACCCTGTCAATTCATAAATCTCGTTATGGGTAGATATGTTATCATTTAGGAATCACTCTGTCATCATATGTCGAGCTGGCCATGAACATGCCACTTGAGACCCACACTTTATCTGTAAGTCCTGGATGATTTACAGGAATGAAATCAGACGATAGACATGTCGAATATCAAAATTCTTATTCGATTGATACGATTGATCGATAAATTCGCAGTTGCTATTCTAACAGTAACTGCTAGAATTCAAAATAATTGGGGCTGTCATGTAGGCCGCGTTGTAGATACACACGTAACTGAAAATTATGTACCTAGTTTCACTTCGGTAGTCACTAGAATCAATGCGCCCTACAACCTCAATGACTGAGGGGTCATTATTTCCTTAATAGTTACCCTCTATTTGTGAATAATTGATTAACATCTAGTCCCGAGCTGAACTTAATAAACAAATAGTTAGGAGCTATGAAACATCCGGGTCACACCCTTAAAAAGCGAAGCTTATCTATGGTCTCCACATATACGAATCCATCAAGAATCTCATACGTTGAAACTCATGCACGTAGAATAAACACAAGAGACCATGGGACAAATTTTAGATTCTATAGATATTAGGATCCAGAGTCTAAAGCGTTCTGAAGTTCTTATTTCCGAGACCCTGATTCGAGGTTCATAGAAGATCTCCGTAGGTGACCAATAAAACTAGAAGATAAAAGCTTAGGAAGTTATTCCATCAACTTACTTAGCTTTGAAGCTGATATTTAGCTACTTCTGTCTACATACAATAGCTCCATTGATAGATTTAAATCTCACAAATCGAGACTAGTTGGCACGTTTAAGCCCCGATCCCGTCATATCATACCAACATTAAAGAATACCGAATTCACCATTCATGTGGATCCAAGCCAGCTGTTTTAGGTATCACAAAGGGTGTTCAAATAACTTTTTGTGCATCTATGAGTTCAGGCGAGGCTTTTTGGATGAAGGATACCGGCCATGTTGCCTTTTTTAATTCTCTCAAGCGTCAGGGCTGCAATGAGTGCTGCACCAACCCCAGAGCCGTCCTCGGCTGCTAGAATTTCAATGGGATCTTCTTCTTTGGAGTTCTTTTTGGCGGGCCAGTCTAAAATTTCTCTCAGTGCTAATGCACCACGAGCCTTAAAATGCGGGTACTTGTTGAAAACTGAACCATCAGCACCGACGTGGCATGTTTTATAACCCTTTTTAGTAGCAATTGCAGCAACTCCGCATGCAGAGAGGCGCGCGGCCCGAGTCCCAATCAGCTCTGCTAAGCGACGAATAAGTTCTAGTTCGGAGAGATTAGTGCGGATTGATAGCTTGGTTTGAAATAGCTCAAATGTTTCCGATAGATTTTCCCAGGGATCCCTGATATGTTAGCAGATAAGCGTGACCTTGAATTGAGACTAACTCTTCAATCATCGACAAGAATGAAGAATCAAGAGTATATGGTTTGCGGAGTTTCTCGATATTCTGATTCTCAAAAAGGTGGACACCTTTCTTTTCGTGCAGGTCGACGAGGACCAAGCGAAATATTTCACCGAGATATAGACCAGCGATCATTTTTTCGAAAGCTTGTTGTCCAGGACGGGGTGAATCTTTATCAATTATAATATCGTATGGAGTTCGAGGGAGGACCTTGTTTTCATTATCAAAGGCTCCCCATTCGCAATTGATCGCCATAGGGGCGTCAGGGGGAAGATTTAGGTGAGCTAGCTTAGGAATAGAGCCACAGTCCTCCATATATGCCGCATTACAACCAGTGCCGAAGATGCATCCTATTTTCATTTTCGTATCAGTGTAAGCTGAGGCTATAAGAGTACCTGTTGTATCGTTGATTAGAGCTGTAAGTTTAATGGGAACATGCTGTATTGGGTTAGAGATTTAACCCCTCGCATATTGGTAAGCTTACCCTTTTTTCAAGAGCTGCTTCGATCATGGGGACGACGTCATGTCCTTCAACGTGATCGATGTCGAATCCCTTGGTCCATCTCTGGAGTATCCCGTGATTAATGTAGTTCTGTGTAGCTGGATAAGAAAATGTAAAGCCCAAAGGCAATTCAGAAGTGTCGTTCCCATGGTGAGCCTCGATAAACTGCAAGAGACAATCGGCAATGTACTCCCACAGCTCTTCTGCAGTTCCAGATTTGAGCTCCTCAGGCATTTTGTACTTAGACTGAATAATATCAAACTCGGACTTTTCCTCGGTGAGAATAATCTCACAAACACGAAGGTTCGTTCCACCCATATCTAGGGCTAGAAATGTTCCCTGCTCATCACCAGTCGGAAATGACATACACCACGTAGGATTCATAGGCTGTCATTACCATTAGTTTTTTGTTGTGGAGAATAGGTTGAAGTGCTCATTGTATGCTCACAATACTGCCGCCCTCGACACTCAAGCCTAGGAAGTCAGCCTAATTTTGCTATAAATCTAGCCTTGCAAATATATGTTTTCTGATTACCTTTTTCAAGCTCTTTGACAAAGTGAGATGTTATAGCCTTAAGTTTCTCTTTTGGTACAGTAAACTGGTCTTCCAGTCGCCTTATCTCATTTAGTAGATCCTTGGGAACATCGGCCATGGATCCTAGTTCACTTAATGAGCAAGCCTCCATAATATATGAGAAAAAACATTAAATTCTGATAAAGTAGATGGGTGTAGTTTTTCGTACATGTGTTATAAATAGGTGGCTGTTGAGTTCATGTTTGGAATTTTATCATTGGTTGTAAAGTTCCTTACATCTCCAGAAGTACAAAAGTCATTGCTTCTAGTTTCGGAATGGCTCTGAGGCAGAACAATGTTTAATGTTGAGTAGCTCAACATTGTTTACTTATAAACAGTGCAATTTTAGTGTAGATAAGCTTTCGAAATTAAAAGTTTATCATTTGAAGTAAGGTTTATGAACCTTGGAAAAGAATAATGAAGGTTATGAAAGAATGTAGGAGATGTGAAGCCCGGAGTACTACTCTCAGGGGTCAATTCTATGATTCTTAGATTGAGAATATATCAAATACAACTAAGCTTGTGAATTCCGTAAGAAAATATTAGATATCTGTTAACTCATAATTAAAATGTAGTTGTAGCTTTCTTGAGAGCTTCCAGCCATAACTATTGGCTTTACTCTCTAGTAGGAAGCCGTACACGCAATAGTGTTGCTAAGGAATTGCATCCATTTAGGATGATAAGAGTTAAATGTAAGCTGAGATTAAACCGTGGTGTACTCACCCTTCCGGGAAGGAGGCTTTCTATTACAAGGTTAGCACTTATCGGTATAGATAAACCATATTAGGGAATGACGCACCGAGGTCCAAGGCCAACCATTCTTCTTTTTGTTAAAAGTTAGATGTAATTGAATAAAGATATTTTCCAAAATTCTTGACAGAGTTTGAGTGTTCGTCTGAGTACACAATCGATGATGTTCGATCTTACAGGAGGGGTATTGAGGAGTAGGAGAGGCGACCCCATAATAGTTTAAGTGCACGAGCCACAATTTAGTCCCGGCTTTCGTCAAGATGGAGCGGCCGCATAGCCTTGCTGCCAGCAGCTGCATGAGAGAAGTAGGCACAGCTAGTTTCTTACGTCTGGGTTCCATATTAGATAAATCTAGGTGTCAAGCTGTAATCTTACCTGCACTATCAGTTGCACCCATCGGTACTTGTACCACACTTTCCAAGATGGAGATTATCCAGAAAGCCCTTTTCTTGCTTCCATTCTTTTCTGTGTCTTTGCACGCGGAGACAGACATTACAGAAGGGCTAATCGTATCACAACTCAACTTTCCTCCAATGTTTAAGCCTCCGCAGACCTTTCAGAATATAAACTTGATGCGCCTCATCAATCTTGAGAAAGCATATCCGCAAGAATCAATTAACGTTGTGATAAAAAATGTAGCACAGACAGCTCAAGACGAATACTTTATTCCTTTGACAGCTCGGCAAAAGGAAACAATTGGTACCATAGAGGTGAAGGACAAGAACAATCCTGATCAGCATTCTTTCAAGGTGCAATTTGTGAAGGTTGAATCCAACAGGTATGGCTATGGTAAAACGCGCTCTGGTCAACCAGCTAACAATTTCCAGCGACACTTGGTATTACCGCGTTCGTCTCCCAAAACCATTGACACCGGAATCGCAGCTTACAATCGGGATAACTTTCTCATATCTATCGGCACTAAACCCCAAACCGGCTACCATTCCTCAAGGGGGTAGTCAATTTCTCATTTACAATTTCTGTGCCCATGCTTTGACAGCATACCCAACTCTAACACAGCAAACGGATATAAAATTTCCTAACTCTAATGTCGCCGAATATACTACCATATTGAACGAAAAAGGAGAAAGTCAATTTCCAGTCATAGCTGGATCAAGATATACCTATGGACCGTTCACAAAGGTTCCGCCAGGAGTATTTGAGCCCATTACAGTTCGTTATCAGTCTATAAAGCCCCTAATACACGTCCTCAAGCTAGAAAGAGATGTGGAAATAAGCCATTGGGGAGGAAATGCAGCTTTTGAAGAGCGTTATACGCTCACTAATAGAGCTGCGAATCTATCAAAACCATTTAGCCGGGTTGAGTGGGCATCGTCGAATTATTACAATCCACCCACAACTGCGATTAAAGAGCTTACGTTCCCTCTAAAAGTAGGAAGTTTAACGCCATACTACATCGATGTAATAGGGAATGTTTCGACCTCCCGTTTTCGTACCAGTAGCCATGAAGCTAGTCTAGAGGTTAAACCCCGCTATCCAATTTTTGGAGGATGGAATTATCCATTCCGCATAGGATGGGACGCGAATGTAAAGAAATTCCTACGGAAACTGCCTGGCAACGCCCAGTATATCCTTAACGTACCATTTCTGGAGGGACCAACACAAGCCGAAGGAGTTGAGTATAAACTAGTTGAGCTGAGAATAATTCTCCCAGAAGGAGCTAAGTAAGTCATAAAGTAATCCTTATTGTCCCAGCTGATAGAAATAGGAATTTGAGGTTCAGCACCAGCGTACCTCTTATATCCGCTGAGATTTCTACCCACAAAACTTACATGGATACGATAGGCCGAACTACACTTACACTCAATGCCATTAATTTGTTCGATAGCTTGCGGGATCGCGAGCTAGTTGTTACTTATGAATACCTCTCATCGGCAATGCTTCGAAAACCCCTAGTAATATTTAGTGCGTTCCTCGGTCTATTCACGACGACTTGGGTAGTAGGGAGCTTTGATATGAGTATTCAAGCGAAGTCATTATAATTATTCAGAGGCTTGGCTTCAAGCTCATAACTCAGACACTTATCGAGCGAAGTAATGACGAATATACCCAGTGCCACCACAAAATAAATACAGTGATCATCTCGTAAAACCTCTTTTCAATATTACACATCCTAGATAATTGTCCATCTATCCAAAGACAAAAATCTACAAGACACTCAAGCTTGAAAAGACCTTATGAGTTACAATTCCTCTCTTCTGCCACAGTCAACTGCAGCGAGTGAGAAATATTTTTGTGATCAATGGCGGAGCTGGGGTAGCACTTGCTCCGATGGGCCTGAGTTTGGTGTTATGCCTTAGGCATACATGTGGAAACAGCTTTTTTCTTGTTCATTAATGTGCTAGGTTAAGTGACTACCGTTGCACTCCTACTGGAGCTTAAGCACGGGTGGAGCCAGGCCGGATCAGGTTAACTACCGTAAAGTACAAATACCTCTTCCCACCTAAATGACCGGACCGCCTCAGACTTCACCCATGTGTTGAATCATACCAAGCCCAACCGTCCATAGAACCCCTTTTGACGCGCCGAAGCGCAAATTCTTCCTCAGCCTCGGCACCATGCGTCCGAGCCCTTGACATTCTCATTAATTCCGAAATATAAATGTTATCCCAAATCTCATAGTTGCTCTAGCCTTGAACCTTCGTGTCGTACCGTTTCATTGTTGTCGTCATTGGGAATCTGTATGATCCCGTTGGTGTATATTCCTTTTTTTCCCTTTTTTGCACACGTCACGTTTCCATCATAACTTTCCTCATCAGGGTGTGTAGAGGTAGGTGTGGTGGCGAGTATGGAGGTGGGTCGCAGGTGTAGGATCGACTGAGAAGTGTTACCTCGCAAAAATATTAGGAGTTTGAGAGACATCAGTTGTTTGAATACGGCCTCCAGATAGACCCAGGTCCATTCGTGTATCGTATGTTGGTGGTGATGAGCTTTTGTTTAACTTCCTTGCGGTTGTGAAGCCTCTGACGACTGATTTTCGGCCAAAATACCTAGTTCAGCTCCTTCGAGCCGAAAATCTATCAAATAAAATTGATCCACCCTTTTTCATGACTGAATCTCGGCTCTGAGAGAATTTGTCACTCCCAGATTCGTAGAGAACACCACTGACAGGTATCCAGCCTTCGTCCTCTTGGATACATATGTTATTGAAGCTTCGTTGGTGTCTAGAGAGACAGACATATACATCTTGATCAGCCATCATTTCTGCTGTAGAAAATCTATTCTCATAACCTATGATATCGTAGAGATTGATCCTATCATACCAACTGAAGCTGAAAATAAGCATCGAAAAGAAACAAGTTGCTTCAATTATACTTCATTATAATCAGTCCATTTATAAGATTTGGTTTACAATAAACTCATGGAACAAATAGGTATAGTATATATCACTCACGTTCACCATCTTTCGGAACAAAAGAGTGGGGCAGCAAATCTCGCTAGTAGTAGTTCCACCGAGCATTAGTAGGCTTTTATCTCATCAGACTCTAGATTCAATAAAATTTTGTCATATCCGATGAACCAGCCATGCTGGCCACCTTTCAAAGACTCGAAGTTGATTCTTATCTTCATTTCTTCAACCCCACGCAGGCCAGCTCTACCTTATGTTTCCATAAGCGTCGGTATATATCCTATTATTGTAATTTGTTTGCTAGACCTGGCGGTGTAGCTTATCACAGTTAGAGAGTATATACTAGAATGCAGTGGTGGCTCGTTACAGATGCGATTGCGACAATACAATTGAGGGTTGTATGAAAGTTTGGCACTTCTACAGGTCCCAACAGTGTGGAGGTTAATTCAATTATTGATGATAATTAATTGTTATGTCTATTTACAGAAAATGTGTTATAGTTCTACATGTGCCCGTAATCGCTTAGATTTGGCTAGTGGGCTGTCCCCTCTTTTACTTCGATCCCATGTTCCATCAAGTGACATGGAATAACTGCTCACCACAAAGTCCGCAGATTGAACAGCGTTAGATCACAACACCAATCATTAGTAACCACTTATATTACCACTTGCAATTTTTGTCTCTATCGGATACCAAGCATATAACCTTAAGGCGGTGATTCTTGTAATAATCTCAATCCAAGGAATATAATTTTGAGAAGGAAAAAATCAAGCAAGCCTTGTAAAACCAACGAACATAAAGATAAGGTTACTTTCGTTGGTTAAGGATCTGAGGTGATGGATGAATGGGTCTGTCAAGTTTCTTAGCTATAAAGTTTCTGTCCTTCATCGACAGCGAATAACATTAGGGGCTCTATATCACATGAATTACAAAAAATGACACAGTATCAGGAATTAGAGTGGTAACTGTGCATACACTCAAAAGAGGCTTAGATACCCTTTATGTTTGTTTTTTACTTTTTGGAGGGTTTGGGACCTTAGCCAGTGCTTTAGGTCCAATTAAGGTACAGGAATGATAGGGCTGGCAAGGGTTACTGCGTTCGGCCAAAGCTCTTACCGGAGGGCAAGACTGAAAACCTGTGTTGTTGTTGTTGTATTTTTAAAGTCCTGAGCTTAAGTAAAAAGCTCTACATCCTACTATTGGTACAGGACCGGTGGAGCCGGTAAGGATCACTGTATACAGGCCCAACTCATTCCAACCGCGTGAACTTCTACATAAATGGTGGTGTTCACAGCAAAACTAATATCAAATACTTAAATCAAAAACTTAAATCAAAAACTTAAATCAAAAACAAAAATCAAAAACAAAAATCAAATTTAGAAGAAATCCCTGTAGGTCCGGATCCCGCGCTTCTCGCCCGTTCCTTTTCCTGTCACATCTTCTAAGTGACACTTTCTGACCTTCGCTGAGAGCAGAAGATGAGCTGGCAGGCACCCTTTCTCCATCTGGTGTCCTACTGTTAGTGTGTTGAAGCCTTGACGACTTCAATGAGGCTGGCCATAACCTTAAACCTCCTCTTCGGATTCTAGAATCCCAAACCCCGATCCGTCTGACATATAGACGTCGTTCTTCGCGCCGTGAATCGCCTGAATGGCTATTTCGGCTGCAGCTCTGATGCGAGTAAAATCTGCGTGATTTTTCTGCTCGATCTTGCGAATCATCGCAAGCTGCTCTTTTTTCACCGGGCCGAACTTGCTGGGTCTGGCTTTGCAGTACCGCGAGTCCGATCGATGAGGTCCCCCACAGTTTCGACACCGTGTGGGGGCTTTGCACTCCGGTTCAGAATGCATTTTTGATCCGCAGTTCCAGCAAGCCGGAGCGCGGGAGCAACCGCGTGAGGCATGGAAGCCAAGACATCGATTGCACTGAACTATTTTTCGACGAGGTTGGAAGAGCTTTGCAGCTCCGGAGTCATCGGAGAGGCGAAATCCAGGTCGGGGCGTGGATTCGCGAGGGAAGAGCGCTTGCCAGTTCTGGTATGGCGCCCCGGGTTTGCTCGTCCCATGAGGACGAACAAGAAAAGGAACTGATTTGGTCACTCGCGTGACTTCGTCGGCGACCATCTTTTCCGTGATGAAAACGGAACCTGTGAGTGTATTAATTCTCAGCGGGACGGTGGCAATTAGTAGGGCAACCATATTTGACGCTGGTTCCAATTCAATTCCTGATTCTCACCGTTCTACGGAGGAATCAAGGGGCTCTTTCCGAGCGATTTCATCCTTTGCTGTTAGAGCAAAGCCTGTTTTGTCACGCTGAACCAACGTGATGTTGTTGGCTGCGGTACCAAGTGCCTCTGAGACAGCTGATCTTACGCCAGCTGGTGCTAGGAGTCGGTGGGGGTGGTCGTAATCGAGGCGTAGAAACAGTCACGTATCGACCACTGTCCTCGTATTGGCTCCCTTTGCTTTTCGAGCGGGCGGGGCTGCCTTTTTTGTTGATAGCCCAGTGCTGTGGCCAAGGCCTGCTCGGGCTACATTCGCCCAAGTTGTCTTTTGGGCCGGAGCCTGGATTGTCGAAGGGTTAGGTACCCTAATTTCATGAGCCCTCGGCGGAGGAAGGTTGATGGGGCGCGCAGGGAGAGCTGGTTAAGTGCTCCCTGGGCCTAATTGTATGAACTGGCCAATGGCCACTCGAAGGTAGACTTTGATGCCGTCTACAAACTCTTTTTCGTCGCCAATCGAGAGAGGCGAAAGTGCTGCTCCAACACTGCTTATTGCAGTGGAACAGATTGATAAACGTGACTTGGTTTGCATCGTGCGACGCTTCTCGGCTTCCATCACTGATTGCGGCTCCGTAGGATATTCCGGTGCTGATGTCGAAGCTGTGCCTTTTGGAGCTGGCACAGTGAATTTTCTTGTAGATGTTTCTGCTTGTTCTGTCGTCTTCTCTCGGACGACTTCCTTTCCTGTCCATAAAGTGCTTGCCTCTAGGGCAAGCTCGATGGGAATGTTGGTCTTAGGACCAATTTTCTCTGACCTGATGGGCTCAGAATCAGTCATCTCTTTATCGGGAAGGTTTGGAGACTTTCCTTCGATGAAGGCCTCACTCGCAAGCATGCTTGATATTTTCTGCGCGAGGCCAGATGTTTTTTCGGGAGTCCTCTGGCGGACTCTCGCGTTGTACAACATTGAGTTGGGGAGCTTTTTTCGAATAGGTGGCATGATGAAAATGCCAGTGACTCGATTACAATTTATTGAGGAGTGCGACGAGCGCGAGAGGGAGGGAGAGGGGGAAAAGGTGAAGATTCGAAAATCCGAATTTCAAAAAATTGTGGGTGTGTATGTGTTGTTTATTGTACTTCTTTTTTTAATTCAATTTATTGTCCTGTCTGAGTCTATGACTATGTAGGACATGTAGGTCCTCTCTGCTTACAGGCCAAGGATACCTATACCAGTAGTATATCCCCTCCTATGCCTCCCATATAGCTCCCATCGAACAGTACTACCCCTCACAAGTCCTCATTTGATCATACACTTAGAGGAGCCCTTTGCCCTTCATTATCTCCCCTCTCCAGCCAACGAAACGATGGCTATTTGCGGGTGTATGGTAGCCGGGAAAAATTGCAAAAAACCA